GAAGACATAGAGGGAGCAGTGGAGGGAGCGTTGGAGGGAGCTTTGAAGGGAGCGTTGGAGGGAGCATTGAAGGGAGCGTTGGAGGGAGCATTGGAGGTAGCGTTGGAGGGAGCATTGGAGGGAGCATTGGAGGGAGCGTTGGAGGGAGCATTGGAGGTAGCGTTGGAGGGAGCATTGGAGGGAGTCGAAGTGAAACAGCACACTTGATTCACGTTACACGAAGAGTTCCAGATTTGAGTCCCAGTTTCGCACATGTGTTGCGCCGAATCGGTAGGAAGACACGTATGAGTGCGAGGGCATGATTGCACCCCAAACCGACTTTTCAAGGCCACCGGTCTATCCTCTCTCGGAATGTGACAGCAGATTTGAGTCTCGAGGGGACAGGCGAGGGACGAGACGGTCCTCGTATCGCACAGCGCGGCGTAGGCTACATCGATGCACGAGGATCCGTTCGCGAGGGGACACAGGGGCCTGGGCGTAACAGGAGTCCCTTGCGTTACCGAAGTCGCTTCCGTTGCCGCAGTCGCCGGGGTATTTGTCGGTTGGCAGCAAAATTCTCCAGGACGACAGTTGTCCTCCTTCGAGTGAATCAGGGTGCCCGGCGCGCAAAGGGAAACCTCTTCGGCTCGTATGCATTCGTAAGGACACATCCGACAATTTATTAAGGAATCCAGATGCAAACTCTCGAGTTCCGTTCCATTTTCACATTTGCCATTTTTCATATTCGCCATCAATCCCTCGATGAAGGCGAACCAGTCCAATCCGCAATCGCACTTGATGGGATTTCCTGGAAGCAATAATGATTTGCCCGATTACGTTTGCTTAAGTTTACGGATGAAATTTAATTCGGAAAATTGAACGTCTGCATCTCACATTGCAGATCGATGAATCCGTCTCCTTGCGAGAGAACTCGCATCATGGGGTGGAACACACCAGCTGGCAGATCGGCAATGTTGTTGTTCCGAAGATAAATCTTCGTGTTTGGCGTGAGACCTGAAACGAGCATCGAGCAATGCCTGCAGTCCATCTCCCTCTACTATTCCGAGCAAATCCTGCCATGAGCCGTGAAGCGAATGGCATTCATCATTCGTGCGCGCTATTTACTTTCCCGCTGAGCGTCTGCAAGTCTGGAATTCTACAATCCTCGCATTTTGGCTGACCGAAAACAACATACAATTCGACCTGATTACTGAGAAGGTCCCGCTTCATCATATCAGGCTGGAAAGCATGTGTAAGAAGAAACTGGTTACGCTCTTGATTTCATATAGTTTTTTTTAATGGCTTATAGAGGAGAATCCAAAATTGAACAAATATGTAATACTGTATATTGGTGCAACACCACGTTTATGTTTTTCGAAGGTGGGCAAAAAAATGTGCTCGGTTTCAAAATGTAAGAACGAGATAACCATACAAGAGATAATTGAATAATGAGCAGCAAAGCAGCAAAATATGAAACTTTTCCGCAAAAAAATGCATTCACCACCTATAAGACCCTATAGGAAACTTACAGGATCCTATAGGTTTTTCGTGTTTCAAAAACCTATAGGAAAGTCTATAGGTTTCCCATAAGAAAGAACTATCGGTTTCCTATAGGACATTTCCGTAAGGGTAGAGGCTTGATTTTTACGGCATATCCTTTTCGCAGTATTTGGCATGTGTTGGAATTCTACTACAGTTGAACATCGTAGCATCAGAATCATACGCAGAATACTACGAAGAAAACATAAAAATTTGGTGACGAGATGGTGGCAATGAAAGAAATCATTCGAGGAACGTGAAAAAACAATACACCTCATGCCCGGAAACGGTACATTTGTTACTCCGCTTTGAACGCCAGTCGATTTTTATTCAGAGAAGCTAGGTACATTGAACTCTCAGAAAACAAATTTCGTGATGTTTCAAACGTGTAACAAAAACATCCTGAACCTAGATCATTGACAGAGGGTTATATTGAGCGCCAAACACCCTATATTTTCCAGGATGTGATATGGAAACAAAATTTGATTATATTTGGTCAGAATTCGTCGTATTGTCCAAAGCCTGAACCTCTTGTCACATTCTGTCCCTGCCAATCTAAGCTGCTGAAACATTAAGCTTGTCGCTCTAAAAGCCACATTAAGGATGAAGCCTTGGTACGTAAAAAGTTATAAGATATAGCCAATGTGTAATAAAGAATCGGAATCACCGAACTTAAATTTAGGTTTCTCCTAAATGGAATTTTCAAAGCGAACAAATCTCATACTTTAAAGTGTTTTTAGAGTCTCAAGATACCTGTAACCATGAATGAGTTGCCAGGATGGGTCTGACTGGACAAAAGAAAAGGAATCCCTAGCATCGTGAAAAAATTAGTACAAAATTTGGCTACTTTACACTGGAAATCGTTTCAGCAAATCCTTGGAAATCGGAACATTTACATTTCAATTTGACACGGAGCAAAAAAATACCTCTAGAATCAAAAGATTAGAGACTTGAGGTCTGTCCACATAATCAAAAAATAAAGGAAATTTCCGGAGAATGCACGGAGTCAAGATTATTAGCGTGGTGCCTTTAAATTTCAGGGCTTTTTACACTTTGAAAGCCTTATTCCCATCAAGGTTATATGGAAGTTATATAGAGGTTGGAAGGGCAGGATACCTTTGATCGCTCTCGGCTTGAGACCGGAAATGTTGCTGAAGTCATGCCACACTTCTCTGAGGGTCCTGCTGCGGAACTCCAGAGTCCCAGCGGAAATGATCGGTCCCAGATTCAATCCAGAACCGTCAAATTCCTCCAGTTGTTCCAGGTTCTTCGTGATGGCAGTCGGAAACTTCAGTTGTGGGTTGTAACCTGTAACAATAATATGCGCAGGCGTCTAGGAAAGCAGTCCGGACAATAATCCGATATACAGGGTGTCCCATAAGTCCGGCATCATAGGAAAAAATTCATATTTTTCTATTTCTACAAGCCATGATGTCTCTGGGCAAGGCAGAACGAATGAAAATAATATACTCATAGGAAATCGGAGTCAAATAGAGGCCGCTGCTGAATTTAACATACTGCATCCAGACCGCGAGCCAATAGCACAGAGTTGTGTTATCAGACTTTTTGCAAAATTTAAGGAAACAGGATCCATAGAAGATAAACCACGCAGTGGACCTTCAAGGAGGTCCACTGACGATGATACAGCGACTGCCTTTATTTTGCCACAATATAAGTAAGTATTGTGATCTGTCACCAAACGCTGAACGATTGCAACCGATTCTGTTGTGGTGCTGGTTTTAGGTCGTCCTGTGTTCATTACCTCGGAGATTCCTCCCGCCGTGCAGAAATTCATGATGCCACCTCTCCACTGAAGGGGCCTCATCAAAGTATACAGCTTCCGATTCCTGCTGGATTTGGTTACTGGTCAGTCCCTTTTTCGCGAGAAACGTTATCACCAACCTAATTATAGTTGCAATGAATATGCAAAGTGTTATGTTCAAATGTTATTGGTAACGAATCAAAATGTGTCATTTCTGCTAGAAGGTTTTCGAAAGTTTGTTACTGCAAACGAACAAAATTAATTTTTCTAAACCATTTCTTTCACCCTTTTCGCAAAAAACTTTTGAATCACCCTCGTATACGATCATGACTGAGTGAGTGCCTAATGCTAATGTTCTAAACTTGTTCTAAGCATAAACCTGAAACTTCGTACATAGGTAGCTATTAAAATTCTGACTTTTGACATAAATGCATTGTGGGCAAATATGTAAGGAGTTATATAAAGTATACACTTCCTCTCGTTTCAGCCGAACGGAGTTAATTGGAAAGCTGGAAATATGCATCGACATGACTATTTTCATGTCTATTTCGAGAAATTTTAATTTACAAATACATCCCCTGTGGGCAAATTTTGTGGGTTTATTTCCATCGTACCATCGTACAACACTGATACCATCGTAAAACACTGATACTCACGTAACTTGATTGCAGAAGCCGACACGGACTCGAAGAGTTCGAACGAATTAGAGATGGCGAAATATAAATTATTTTCCGATTTTCGGACCACAATGCCTCGCGCCAACCAGAGCATGATCCTTATCAGGTGCTACCGCCTTGAATCTCAATTTTAAAAGCATTTTGGCAATATTTTAACGTTGGGATATAAAACATCAAAATGATCTTAATGTTCTTGACTATCTGGAAATCTTCCTCAGCACAGGACGTTTCGGGAGCCTCCTGTCAACACTCATCCATGACCCGTGAAAGCAGTTTTTGAGCAAAAATCTCGTCCAACCTGGATTCCATCGTGATGCCGAAAAAGATCCTCGTCCTGTTTCTTGTCTTCTTTGAGTCCGGAGCGAGAAATAACGCTTGCCCGACCGAGGACATCCGCCCCTGCACGTGCTCGGACGAAAAATGGTCGGATTTCGTGGAAGACGGCGACCTCACTGTAGATTGCTCCCTTGCTGGGTCGAGCGCGGAAATTTCCTCCGCTCTGATCAATGTCCCTTGGTCGACGAACAACATGTGGTGAGACTCATTTTCAGGGTTTTTGATCGATTTTTCAAATCTGCGTGAGAAATATTGTTCTGTATTTTCATCCGTTCGTGAAGTCACTGGCCGATAGGGTGGTTGCATGCACGTTGTCGCCGCCCCCCTCCCCCCCCCATTTTTAAAGTTAATTCGCACTGTTACTCCAGATACGGAGTTGCTTGCAATTGTGGTAGTAAATGCTTCCAATTTAGTTAATAACCGGTCAATGAGTCTAAAATTTCTGTAATGCAATAATCAGAGGTGGTTGCGTCTGCAAGCATCTGTAATTTTCGATATGGCAAACGGGAATGGAATATTGTTGCCAGCGATAATATTTAGATGGACAGTCCTCTCACTTTAATGGATCACTCACATAGAGCAGATGAAAGAGGCTCGAGATTTAAAATCGTTTTTTGTCGTGTTCATTCACAAATTTTCATCCTGATGCAGGTCCATGCACTTGGAATCTACGCCTGCCTGACATTGGTCATATTACATGAAAAGTAATGCAGGTTAACATGCACGAATTGATCAAGGCTTCATTCTGCTAAGAAGATCACGGAACGGAATTTCCCATATGGCAGGATATTCAGGCTGCAAGACAACCTGGACGTGAAACGAAGTTTGGTTCCATCTTAACCATCTTAAGTGGAATGGACCTTTCCTACTTTGCAAAAGCCGCCATGAAAATTATCCAGTTCATATATGTGAAGGAGGATGTCGAGGAGACAGGGAAGACACTTCAGCAGCGATTCCAGTCCGTCCAGCCTATTCCAGATACCCGGAAGCATCATTCATACGTGCCTATTGATGCGAACCACCTTCAAATCTGAATCTACTCAGCTGCAAAAACCAGTACTATGGCAAAAATGAAATGAAAGGAAATTTGACATCCTTTCACCTTAATTTTCAAGTTCATATTTATTGCTGTGTTATATATTGAAACATGAGATTCAAAATAAAAAATGGTGTAGAGCTGCTGATTCAATCTATTTCTGCACCACAAGTCAGCCACGTATATAATGCTTGGGCAACAAATCAATTCGATGTTGATCCTTTCGGTAATTAATGCACTCAAAAACGGAATATGTAAAATTCAAATCCGAATCTACTCAGCTGCAAAAACCAGTACTATGGCAAAAATGAAATGAAAGGAAGTTTGACATCCTTTCACCTTAATTTTTAAATTTCATACTTATTGCTGTGTTATACCCTGTATATTGAAACATGAGATTCAAAAAAAAAAACGGTGTAGAGCTGCTGATTCAATCTATTCCTGCACCACAAGTCAGCCACGTATATAATGCTTGGGCAACAAATCAATTCGATGTTGATCTTTTCGGTAATTAATGCACTCAAACACGGAATATGTAAAGCAGAATTTGACACATATCTCGAGACTGGGGCAAAACATCCTCTTGAAAATTTGCGAGCTTCATTACCATATTATTCTCGTGTTACCTTGTTAATTTGGTGAAATTTAAGCATTATATATTTTTTATATGAAGGGTCAAAGGTCAAGCGCCTTTGATTTTTTATAAAAAATTAGTATATGAGATTGAAAATTTGCGAGCTTCATTACCATATTATTCTCGTGTTACCTTGTAAATTTGGTGAAATTTAAACATTATATATTTTTTATATGAAGGGTCAAAGGTCAAACGCCTTTGATTTTTTATAAAAAAATTAGTATATGAGAATATAAGCTTGAAATAAATAAACAATATAGGGTCAAAAGAGACCTTTAGAAGGAGTCCTAAATGAACATTCTATGACAAATAGCTAAGGAGTTATTGAAGAAAGTCCGATAGAGGTCAGCCTGACCAGCTAAAATAGGTCAAAATTTTGTGACCTCACCACGGACCCACTTTTGGTCAGAAAAAAAATATATTTTGGATTTCCCGCTTTTGGACTAAACGCTACCTCCGCACCAAATTTCAGAGAAATCGGTGATGGTCGACCAAAATCTCTGGTCGATCTGACGTGGAATGACCCGCTAGCAATACACCACCGAACCCGGGACATTCGGTCATGCCCCTCAATGCCATCCTCATCCGTCACAATATCGTGCACAGCTTTAATGTTTACCCCCTGTTGCGGCTGAGAAAGGACGTCCACTGCGGGGTTCGTCTTCCAAGCTCTCATTTGCATTTTTAATTTGCTACCTACTTTTTCACAGCCGAATAACTCAGTGCATCATTTCTCAACGTCGGCTGCATATCCCTGTGGAAGTCTTTCGCACTTAAGCCCCTCATAAAAATGTATCTAATCACGGCCAGGTCATCAAATAGCTCCATGTCGACAGCCAGTTAAGCACGAGCATTCGCAGTGGTTTGTTGAAAATGAACCCTGAGTGGAATTGTGTGCACATAATTACAATATGTTGAGCTACAATATAGATAAACGGCACTCCCCTTGCCATTTCAATTCCCACACAGGGCGAGAACTTTCATCCACCCCTCGTAAATCGCCCTAAGGCCCAAACAGAAAAAATAATGGGCATGGCTTCCGTTCTCAGGTTGGATTTATAATCAGTTTAAATGTTTCTGAGGGTTTATGCATATCCGTCTATGCATAATTAGGGTAGCATTACCCTAATTACTTTTGATTTACTTTTTGTTTTGTTTTGGAAATGAAAGCCAATCCAAGTAAGTGAAGTTTTTTATTTTTGGATATGTCCCTATATTTTGATTACGTCGAGTTGGGAGCGAAAATTATCCCAAAAATATTGCTAGGGTTTCAGCTCGATTGGAAAATTTATTTTGCTGCATCACCAATTCGATCAGTAATTGATTCAGACCAAAGAGGGTAACTCATTAATTTCATATATACTTGTGGCAAAATATAATAAAATGTCATTGGGTGCTTATTGAACTCCGCGCTATCAATTTAATAAACTAAGTTGCTGTGAACAATAGAAAACAATAGTTTTTAGCGCAGGAGAGTGGTTGGATATTACACTCGTCCCTCATTTCAGACAACTCATGCAGAATGGTACCCATTGATTTTGTTGTGGCTGCTATTTTATAACTATTCTGAAAAATATTCCGTGAAAGGAATGTCTTTCTAAACGGGAACAATTTTTGAATTTTATTTACTTGATTAAAGTTAGGTCGCAATAATTTCGATGTATCAATACAACGGTATTACGAAAATTACATGAATGAATGTTTTCCTTCTACTTTTGTTTGCTTCCAGGGAATTCATTCTAGACGGTGAGAACTTTGCAGAGGAACTTCCGGAGGGACTCTTCAGGGGTGTCACTTTCAAAAGAATTACTATTGCTAATTGGCACGTGGCATCCATCCATCCGTCGGCTCTACTATCCTCTCAAGATCAACTAGAGACGCTGTGGATCTGGTTTACTCCGATGAAAGAATTTCCTTGGGACACCCTGCCTCTATTTACCCAACTCACGTCCTTCGTCCTTGTTGGAAATGAATTGGCTGCGGTACGCAGCCTCCGCAGCCTCAGTCTTCAGGAGTTCGATGTTTCTGCCAATCACATTGCGACACTGGAATCTGGATGGTCTGCACCAAGCTTGACCACTCTCTTGATGAGTGAGTAGAATTGTGTTGAATACGATGATAAAATGCGGAATCAGGTGTCTTGAATTTTATCGCTGGTTCGACGTTACAGCGTCAATGAGTTATTCCTTCTGTAATCTACAAATTTGACGCAGGTGAGACTATACTTCGGATTTACCTGTAATCGCTTTGGTCAAAAGAAATCCCAACATCATGAACATGAACTTTTCCAATTTTTATATATCTTTATTGCCTGCTTGTATGTCCGCATCCACCTATCCAATTTAATCATTGAGTCGGGACGAAATAAACGTTTTGCAATTGGAAATTTTTGTTCTGGCATCGATCGCAAATATTTGTATTCTTATTCGTTTAAACTTTCACATTTTACCTACTGGATGTCTGGTAATAGATAATTTTATTTTGCCACTTTTCCGTCTCCTTTAACAGCGAGGGAAAATTAATTTCATAATTGGATGCCAAGCCATTAAACCTTCTCCACTACTATAATAGTGCCCAATTTTGCTGTGTGATACTTCGGTGACATTGACGCCTCTCATGGCATATATTTTGCATTGCTTGTAGGTATGAATCCAATATCTGCGATGCCCCTTGATTTCTTCGTTGGCTTGAGGAACTTACGGGAATTCCATTGTTTTGGATGTCACCTGGGGCCGACTCTGTTCAATGGGTCTCTGAGATTCCACAGTGAAATGTTAACATCCTTGGAACTTGGCTATAACGGCATTTCAAACATCGAAGAAGGGGCTATTGGAGGTATTTTCGGAACCGTTCTTCGAATTCACTTCTGAAAGATTAATTAACACCAAATAAATCGATGAGAAAATGCCTCGAAACATGAATCTAGTTGACACTTTCCATATGTGCATGTCCCAGGCATCACGTCGGACACGATGGTTGGTCTTGAGGGGAACAACATCGTAGAGTTGAAGGAAGCTACTTTCCGCCCAATGCTGGAGGTACTCGCACGTGGGATTGGATTCCTGAATGTCATGGGTTGGTTTCGTGGCTTTTCATCGTATTCCGTGACCCTTTTAATCGTTTCCTATTCTCCTCCATGAGCGATAATACTATTCGTCTCTTGTGCATTATAGATAATCCCATATCATGTGGATGTAGCATGGCTTGGATAGTGCTCAATCCAGACTTCCTAGTACGTGTTTCTGGTTATTGCCAGGATGGTAGTTCCTTTCGAGGCTTGGATCCGAATCTCTTCGAAGAGTTTTGTATTGAAATGAATCCCCCCATGGCAGGCAACTTTTCCACCTGGATTGCCGAGAATGTCCTTCAATAAAGCGATTGTCGCCCTCATCTGGGAATATGGTGTTGTTTGGTTGAAAAAAACCCGGGACACAAAACACAACTGGGAAATGTGTGTTATTAGAGAAATACGTATTTTACTGACAACTTAAATACACTTGTATTGAAAGGCAAATGAAGAAAGTGTTAGACTTGAGGTTCACATTAAATCATTTTTATTATTCTGCCAGCTAGATTATCGCGCAAGACCAATATGAGGCAAACTCAGTTGGATGTATTATAACATCAATCATAGGAATCATCCTCATTTTCCTGAGAAACGACTATTGCCAATATGAAAAAGTTGAGTTCTTTCATGAGATTTCATTACTGATCTTATGGAAATACTATGACATATGTTTGAGCCTCACGTTTGTGCGCTAATGGGAAACGCATAAGCAACGAAGCCATTCGCAGAGTCGAGATTACAGTGGCCTGCATGACATTACCGGAAGGGGAGTAATAGGCTGACATGGCCTGAACACGTCAGCGCCATACACTTAGAGTAACGCGTGTCTGTAGTTGACATACTGCTACGAGGGTCACTCTACGAGGGTCTAACACATTCTTCATTTGCCTTTCAATACAAGTGTATTTAAGTTGTCAGTAAAATACGTATTTCTCTAATAACACACATTTCCCAGTTGTGTTTTGTGTCCCGGGTTTTTTTCAACCAAAGACAAAAAAAATACTTGAAAACGTCGGCTCACAAAAATATGCCCCGAGGGCATGAATCTGAAATTTTTCATTTTTCCTGATCTCATCGTCTCGGTAGGCACGTCCATGCCAAGTTTCAGCTTTCTATGTCTCTCCGTTTTACTCAAGGAAAAATAATGTTATGGAGGGGGAATGATTAACGGGACATGGAAGGCAAAAAAAAAGAAAAAGTAAGCCAAGGAATGGTCGGGAATTGAACCCATACCTTCTGATTGCCAGTTAGAGATGCTACTTTTACACCAAAATATCCAGGACATCCTGTTGTTTCTCTGAATGCCATCCTCATCTGTCACAACATACATTGAAGAAAAACGTTTCCCCCCCCAAAATGTGTACCCCCAGGGCATGAACCTCCAAAGTCGGATTTTTTCTGAACTCTGCATCTCAAAAGGTACATGTGTACCAAGTTTCAGATTTCTAACCCTTNATCTCAAAAGGTACATGTGTACCAAGTTTCAGATTTCTAACCCTTCTAGAACATGGTTAGAATTAGCGTCAGTCAGTCAGTCATGATCGTCTATATATATTAGATGATACAAATTCCAGGAACATCCCGATCCCAGAAACGAATTTGACTGAAGCGGACAATTTCATTATGGATAAATTCGTGACGAAACTATCTGGTAATATATTACAGCTTCAGGTACCTTGCTTTACTCTACGTTATGCCTTTGCTCTACTTTAGGAAATCTTAATTTTCATGGGTAGGACAATTTGATGAAAACCTCAATATAAGAACACGAATGCCGCATCATTTGCAGAGGCTGTGTAGAAAAGTGTAGAAAAGCACGAGTTATTCTCAATTATAGCATTCTTCATGTAAACGATGAAAAAGTAAAGCATACTGGTCACTTGGTGAGTGGTGCCACAACGGCTCTACGATTGTAACATTATGTATTCTAGCACTTTTTTCCTCGAAAAGGTGGACATCGGAAAGTTCATTGGGGAGAAGGAAGGGGATGGATTGTCATAGAAGAAAGAAAAAGGAAGCCAGAAGCGTAGAAGGATGTCATCAGCCAATTGAGCCACTTCTGTCTTTTTCAGTGCACAACTGGTCGATCTCAAATTCGCATTCGTGATTTTTTTAAATTGTACAATTTTTTATATTAATTTCCTTAGATTCAATTTTAGAGCTATATTCATACGATATCTGCTACAAACATCGAACTATTTTCATGGTGCTTCCTTCCCACACTTATTGCGACAAAACACATTAAAAAATCCAATTCATCATTGGAGAAGTGGAGAAGAAAGAATACTCGTCGGTAAACATGAGGGGGCCAGACACAGGTCGAGATTCCCTGGCTCTCAGGGATGTATTGGATACGTTCATTCCAAATTTAAGCTGGCAGATTACAATTGCGTTTGCTTAAACATTAATAGACTTGAACATGGGTCAATGCAGCTCAGTAAGAATAGCGTGAGAACACTTGCTTGAACGCTTGAACTCTTTGCATTAATGCAGTTACGGTTGTGGTTCACGAGTCACATGGAAGGCAGATTATCCCCTTAAGATGTTCGACAGGCCCCCTGACCCAAAAAAATTATCTAAACACAGGAAGGAAAAGGATGGGAACATGCAACGCAGTGTATGGGCCATGTCAAATCAACACAGCCATTTACTTCACCTTCTTCCGATTTCCATGAAATTCTCTACCCTTGTAGGGACTACTGAAATATCATCCCATGCCAAATTGTAGCTCTCTACCTCAAGTACTTCCAGAGATGTAGCAATTTGAAAGTGGCAAAAAGTGATCAATTTTGGATTAAGTAGTCATCGCATAAGAGCGCATAACGTTTGTTCTTATCAACATAGAAAGCTGATATTGCTGCCATTTTAAAGGTCTCTATATGTACTTTTACAGTAAAAGAAATGCAATCAAGGAACATCACAAATAGTAAAAGTCAAAGGTCAAAGAATCGGACATTTGGCCTTTAATTACAGAAAAATAGTAATTTTTATTTCCATGAAAAATGTATCCTATTATTGCCAATTCTTTCTGCATTAGTGATTAAAATTTCAACATGGGACGGCCATGGGATCAGGAGATTAGAACGATTTTGTGGCAGCAAGGGATCAACATTCGGAAGAGAAAGTATTAGAAATACAGTATATGGATGCATCGAATTTCAGCAATATTTAGTCAGAATAGAGTGGTCTGAGGTATTATGAGCATTCAATGAAGTTGTTAAAGTGTTCGAAGCGTCCAGGAAAAAATGGTGGAACGTTCTAGAAAGTTTTAAGGGTATACCAGAGTTCCAAATCTCACAATTTTTTTCGTAATTGCACTCTCTTCAGGTTACTTACAGGCTCCCTCAGTCTTATTTCACCAGTTTATGTATCAGTTTCTAATTAGTTATGCATCACCTCGTGATGTTATGTGCTATTCTTCCTCATTATCCCAGATTGGGAAATAAGAGGGATGGATGAACTGCAGTGGACGATTTCCTGTTGCGACCCATTCGAGAAAGCGAAATATTCATCCAAGAAGAATCTGAGGATGGTATCTGACCATGGATGTGTAACAAAATCCCTTTTCTTCGATTTGGAGCCAATATATGTGATGATGGTAGGAATTAAATTTCTCGAATATCGGTGTTATCAGGAACTAAGTCGTGTATATCATCATTCATGTTAAGTCAATAAGAGTCTAGTCCTTAGAGCCATACATGCGTGGTTAATAAGGTTTCGTATGAGCAAAATATTGGGTTGGAAAGAAAGTCTTGCAACGCTCTACGCAAATTTGTCAAAATTTTATAACTTTATTGAAATGCAATTTCAGTCTACAATGTAATGACCATTGTTGTCTATGAAATGTTCCCAACGCACGGGTAACTGCTCGATGCCCTTTGCCCAGAACTCTGGCGATTGCGAAGCGAAGAAACGGCCGTGCTGTGCTCGATCGTCGAAGGCCTCCTCCCGCAGGTGATTCTTGAGGGCCCGGAACGAGTGATAGTCGGAAGGGGCCAAGTCCGGAGAATACGCTGGATGGGGTAAAACTTCCCAGCCCAGTTCCGAAATTGCCTGGCGAGTCACCTTCGCAACATGTGGACGAGCGTTGTCATGCAGAAGGAGAACTTTGTCGCGTTTGGGACGCTCTTTTTGAATGACGCCAGCCAACTTCTGAAGTCGAGCAGCGTAGACGACGGCAGTCACGGTGGTACCGGTTGGCAGGAGCTCATAGTAAAACATTCCTTCTGAATCCCACCGACAGCAGAGAAGAACCTTCTTCTCGTAGAACCCTGGTTTCGGTTCGTGTGGCGGCAATTCTCCTCGTGGAAGCCACTGACCCTTGCGAGTATGGATGCTCTCATCTCCAGTAACGATTTCCTTCAGAAGGTCCTTTCTGTGCGGACGAAGGAGCAGTGATTCGCAGACACTGACACGGCTTGCTTTGTCAGAGTTCCCGAGCCGATGAGGGATCCATGTCGAGTAAGCCTTCCGATAGCCGAGGTCGTTCAGATGGTTGCCGATGGCCATATGGGTGACTCCAAGTGTAGTCGTCAATTCGCGAGTGGTGGCTTTCGGCTTCACGTTGAGGGCGTTCCGCAGGGCTTCGTCATCGACTGTCGATGGACGTCCTGAGCGTGGTCGATCTCCGAAGGTCGTGTCGCCAGATTCCAAGCGTTTCGACCATCGAGACACCGTGGAATAGTGGACGACGTTGCCCTTGAATGCAGCACAGATGTTGTCCGCGTCGGCTCTCGCAGAGTATCCTTGGAGGAACTCGTAGTAGACGACGGGGCGAAGAGTTGCTTGTTCGATCGGAGCCATGGGTGCCAACTAATGGCAGAAGCCGCCTGTTAAACCCCGAGGGCAGAAGCTTCGAGAACATTCCAGCATATACAAATGCAAAGCCCCGCCCATCATTCCTTTGAAAATTTTTATAAATAGTTTTAGAAAGTGTTCAAGACTTTCTTTCCAACCCGCTACAACCTTTTTTTTCCAACTTTCTTTCCAACCCGTACGCTAGAATTTATCAGTGAAAGTTAGCATTCGATTGGAGAATCTCCTATTATCATGGGCTTACACAAGACAAATGCCGGGAAGAGAAGTTGAAGAAGATTGGGGGTATGCTGAAGGGGTAGTTACTTTATGTGGAATAAGATGACAGTGGTCGTGATCAAAGGCTAACAGGAAATTAAATAATTACCAAATTGAAAAAAAAAATTCCGAGCGTCCACAGAGAGAAGTGAGAACGCACAAGTCCTAACAGTACTTCCACGAAGTTGGAGCATTCGGACCTTCTATCACTCTACTCCTAATCTCCTTGTCCCAAGTTGAAATTTTGAGGACTAATGGAGAAGGAATTGGCAATAATGTTAAAAATTTTTGAGGAAATAAAAATTACTTGTCCTGCAATTTAAGTTCAAATGTTCCTTTCACTTTTGACCTTTGCTCTTATTCAAGGTCCTTGAATGGCATATCATTTGAAAGGACATGAAGCGTCCCTAAAAATGAGAGCAATATCATATTTCTATGTTCATTATAACAAATTCAGTTATATACACCTAACGATGCCGTCTTGACCAAAACTTTTCCCTTTTTGCGACTTTCAAATTGCTACATATATGGAAGTACTTGAGGTAGAGAGCTGCAATTTGGCATGTGGTGGTTTTTCAATAACCCCTGCAAGTTCAACAAATTCCATGAAAATCGGAGGGGGTTAAGTTAATTTTTCATTCTTTGTGCTGACTTCACATGGAATGACCCCTAAATTTTTAGCACTGAATGTTTTATTTATGCATTCATTATACGCCACAGTAAGAAATTAGGACCTCACCAGAGATAACCAATTCGCCCTGCAACAAGACGGCTCTTGCTGCTGGGCGAATTGTTTGGTATCCCCGTGGTAGACGGGGGTGAGGGCTGTTTCGGGAAAGTGCAATCCAACTCGGAAAGGACACGCCTTTCAATCTCTTTCAATTTTTAATTACTATAACTAGGGTGAATGGAGAAGTAATGGCCGGTTATGGTTATATGAAGTAACTTCCTACCCACGTCAAATTTATGTAAGAGCATGTTAAAATATGTCTCTACCATAATGGGAGGCGATTACACTGAGAAATGAACGTGTGACTGACACTGCAGGAATAAACGTGGCGAAAAATCCCATCAACCTACCTTTTTCATCCAATCTCATACTTTCAATGATCTATGGCCGTGATTCACCTCATAAGGCAAGCAGCATGTTTATGTAAACAAGATATCAATATCTTGTGATTCTCATGGAAATGATGTAACTTCCATATAAAATTCACATTCCTCTATTTACATCACCTAAGGGGATGTGTCTTTCATGATTTATATAAACTAGACAGGACATCACCTGATATAAAGTAGGTGACATGAAGCTGATGCAAAAACAGCACCACCACACCCTTATGATACTTTAGCTGCCTCCAGATTGTCTCCAGTACAAAGAGTCTACACCAGATGGAACCCATCTTCCAAGCAGGTAACAAATGCAATTAAGTATCTGCTTTCCTGAAATAGTATCAGGTCATTCTCCCTCTTTCCTATTTTCATTGTGCAATTTATGAACATATTAGCGCTATGGTCGCGCCTTCGGCGCTCCATTGTCCATTTGAGTGATTCATTCCTTAATGTTATTTCAAAGTGGCAAAAACGTGTAAAAAGCATGTGCCTGTCGAGATGTTAGCCGAGAGAGAACGAACTAATATTTCCATCGAAATAATTTCACCAATTATTTCTTGGGTACCTAACTTCAAATTTCTTCATAATTTGTCTTAAGGGGTCTTATTTGAAAAATAAAATAAGCACTTAGCATTCAAAGAGGTGATCTGCTCCACGTTTCAATTTCTTTAGTTCTCTCCTTCATTGAATCAGAAAAGTTTCCAGAAAATGTTTCTTTTGCAAAAAAAATACGCCCTCAGTGGTTTTGTCTAAAATGGACATTTTTTTTACTGAAATCAATGTTCGGAGAACTTCATGCATGTCAAGTTCAGCCTTATCCGTTTGCTATTTTTGCTGGTGCAAAAACATAATGGGAAAAGCAAAGAAAGCCAAAAGATGTGCCCTGGGGGTATGCACAACAAAACTGAAAATGTTTCTGAACTCACCATCGCCTCGGTATTGTTGTGACACGTCTCATATTTCTATCTATGTACAATTCTATGGACCAAAAAATTATTTGAAAACGTCACCGCCTTAAAATATGGCCCCAGGGCATGTATCCTAAAGTTGACATTTTTCTTGAACTCAGAATCTCATTGGACACGTCCATGCAAAGTTTCAGCTTTCCATGTCTCCATGTTTAAGGCAAATATACATAATTGAAAACATTTCCCCCTGAAATTTGTGCCCCCCGGGCATTTACCGCGCAAATTCTGAATTTATTTTACATTTTGGTTCACAATCCGTACCAATGTGTCAAGTTTCACTCTTCTATCTCTGACCAAATTCGTAGGACAAAAAAATGATTTAAAAACGTCACCCCCCAAAAGTGTGCTCCAGGGTTTGCATCTGAAAATTGACATTTTTCCTGAACTTTGTGTCTCAGTAAGCACGTCCATGGCAAGTTTCAGCTTTCCCTGTCTTACAAATAAATATCATTGAAAACATCCCCCCCCCCTCTCTAACGTATGCACCCAGGGCATACCCTTCTAAAAGTCACATCCTTTCCACATGTATGGAACGCATGTGGTCCGCCCATGTGGATATGGTTGGATGTCGAATTTTCTTTATGGGAATTGGGTAAGCATCTCAGTTTTTAGCCACGCTGGTACGACTCCCATAGGAAGTGGACACCCTGTGCGCACACCAGTGCAAAGTATCCTGCGAAAATGGAATTGACGATGCTCAGGAGAACGAAAAACGTCTAACCGACAGCTATGAAGAAATTAAGCTCTAGTGGAATCAGTGCCCGAAAGATCTATCCACAATCCATGGCTCGATAAGAAAAGAGTGGAGAAAGAAAATTCCACAAAAACAGGGAGAATTCACTGGGTAAATTGAATCACGTGTTTTAATGCGAGCCTACGGACGTATACCGAAACCAACTGTCTTAACTGGCCCTCTAATCGACAGAAGAAATAATTAAGGGAAAGGAGAAGGCAGTGGAAGAAAAGAGGCACAGTTGAACAATAAAAGGAGAATGCCCTATGCCCATTCCCTGAAATATGTGCTGTCAGGGACTAATCCAGGTCTATGACTCAGGCTAGCCTTAGGGCCACATAGTGGAAGCAGGCCATCCAGCAGACCGACTAACGAATGAGAATAACATTGAGAATAAAATGAGAATAAGATGAGATAATACCCATGAGAATTAAATTACTCTGTAGGCTCGTTTTAAGGAAATTTGAAAAGAATTCCAGGCCAATGTAGTAATCTTTGTAACTACAGCCCATGAGCAAAAATTCTCGAAAAAGATCCACCAGCGTTTTATGCAGAAGGTCCAAGTGGATTTTTGTGTAAAGGGTGCTGAAGTCCCAAGGAAGTACTGTCTGCGCTTTTTCGCCTTCATTGATGTTGCACGTTCCGGATGCCGTTCTGATAAGGTTTAAAAAAATTACATGATATTACCCCTCCTTTCCTCATTCCTACCATTCCTCGCCTTGTCCACACCTATTCCCCTCCATGAGCACACTCTCTCCATACCAGTTCCACCCACTTCCACACTGTTTACATACGCGACTAAGAACCATCCTCATAATATCCACACCATTCCACACACGTTCCACCGTGTGGATGGGTGAGGTTTTTTTTTTAGAAGGGTATACCTTCAAAGGCTGATCTTATCTGAACTCTACCTCCCAAAAGGTACATGTGTACCAAGTTTCAGATTTCTAGCTTCTCTAGAACATGGTTAGAATTAGCGTCAGTCACTCAGTCACTCACAATCGTCTATATACGAGGTCTGGCAATAAAGTTCCAGGGCTGATTTTTTTCTGGGGCAATATCGCAAAAATTATTTTAATTCCATGGACTGATAGATTAGACTGTTGGGCAGTGTTGTGTCAGCCCTCATCTGACTACCATCTTGAATGAGAGATTGACTGGCAATTTAGCAGCTCAGTGTGTAAGACGTCTGTCATATTTCCAGAGTGTAGCAGTGCTTCATCACATTTTGTCTCAAACCGATCAATACAGCTACAGTCATCCTTGAAACGTTCATGAAGTGTCTTAAAAAGTTCCTTGTCATGCTCCAATAATTTTGAATGAACATTCAAGGCCTTTAGCAAGTAGTGAAGACACTCAGATCCACCTCAACCACAACCATCGCCAACCCTTCACCCAAGGGATGGCTGAATCAGTCATTATTTTCAATTTCATTTCTATTAGCTGAAAGCCTGAAAAAACCATTCAAGATTGTTGGAGTATGACGAGACAACCTGTCACTTTGATAATTTTGATGGATTGGTGGAGCTGTATTCCCAGATTGAGACAAAATGTGATGCAGTATTGCTTCACTCTGGGGATATGACAGACGCGTTACGCACTGAGTTCTTAAATTGCCTGCCAATTTATCATTCAAGATGCTAGTTAGATGAGGACTGATACGACACTGCCCAAAAGTCTAATCCATCAGTCCATGGAATGAAAATAATTTACGTGATATTGAGGGACTCATAAAAAAAATCAGTCCTGGAACTTTATTGCCAGACCTCGTATATACAGGGTGGGCCAAAAGTTTTTGCCCTGTATAAAAATGTGAATATCTCCTGAACAGTTTGGGCTACAGAGTCGAAAAAAAAACTAAAAGAAAGTTCATTTCATCCTCTTTCTGAAAATGTATGGTTTTAGGTTCCTACATTCATTTGGAGATGAGTCATGGCCGTTTGAAAAAAAAAAAACCGAAAAAAAGTTGCCAAAACGAACCTATACCGTGCCGCCCACGGAAATCATCCTCAGCAGCTGGCTTCAAGGTCGCGCGCGCCGTCGTTTTCTTCCTTCCTAATTGCTCCCTACCTTCTTTCCCTTCTTCATAATGTGAAGGATGAAAATTTGAAGACTTTGATGCTTGATTTGGATAACCGTCCAGCAGAAGATCGTGGCAAAAGTTAAACGGCATCCTGTGGTCCACTCCACGCGTTGTGCTGAGGATGATTTTCGTGGGCGGCACGGTATAGGTTCGTTTTGGCAACTTTTTTTTTCGGTATGTTTTTTTCAAACGGCCATGACTCATCTCCAAATGAATGTAGGAACCTAAAACCATATATTTTCAGAAAGAGGATGAAATGAACTTTCTTTTAGTTTTTTTTCGACTCTGTAGCCCAAACCGTTCAGGAGATATTCACATTTTTATACAGGGGCAAAAACTTTTGGCCCACCCTGTATATAGATAGAACGATATTAGGAAGACATCGAAATATGATACTATTATCACGATATATGACACAGGGAACTATTAAATATTAAAGTTAAATATGGGAATGAAGGAATGTACGCAGATAAGGAAGGGTGAAATGCCAGTATAATAAACCTCTGGATAGTAGTACGGTCATGTCCTACTCATGCTCTCAGGGTTCCGAGCTGAGTGCGGAAGATTAATGTAGCAGGTATTCTTGGATAGTATTCAGGAAGAGTGCTGGCGTACTCCTCTGACTATTCCAGATTTTTTTGTAAGTTTGTGTCTTACTCATTATAAAAAGTGGCAGGTAGCTTGAAAATTAACAAATTATTCATAGTATTCATGCAAGCACGCTGCTTCGGATGCGTATCAATTTCATGCAAAATTCTCATCAATTTTAAAACACCCTTTCCGTATCACAGAAGTGACATTTCTCCGGAAATGTGGACAATATCAATATATTGATAACGGGTTGTGAAAAATAGGTTTCAAAAGGACAAAAAATGTACATCAAATTTAAATGATAATAAAACATTCGTAAACATGCGGTTTGGGAAGGTATTACAATGATTCTGTTAAATAACATTCGTTTCTTCAATCTTGATACAAATGAGACAATTTGAATACAACGCAAGCGTGACTCATTCATATTTGGTGTCATTTTCCTATACATGCGGTGTTTATCGCGCATCAAAACGGGATGAACACATCCCAAGGAGCATGTTTTTGTCAATATTATATGAAATAATGTAAGTTGTGGTCCATTTTATATATATATCAAGCAATGCTTCATCGAGATATTGTCAACGTGCTTGCAGAAATGTCACCTCTGTGATACGCAAATGGTGATATAAAATTGGCAAGAATCCTACACTAAATTCGCATTCCCCTTTACATCCCCAGTAGTAGAAGTGTTTCTTTTTATTTTCTATAAATTTGATGTCAATTTTTGTCCAACATTCATGTGGAGTTTTTCATAAGCAAATCCTAAAACAGGATTGAATGGACTTAATTCCACCATGCAGTTCCTATTCGTCTCCACACCATGGAGCTCTAATGTATTCAGAGAAAGAAAAAAGTATTCTTCCTGAAGAGTACCAATATGACCTGCTGCTCTCATCTTCCGCTCTCAGTATGGAACTCCAGGAGCATGAGCAGGACCATAACAGGTACTTCCTTCCATAGAGGATACAGGATGTGATTCGGAAGGAGTCTTTCATTCTACTTTTTTTTCCCATACACTCCCGTATTCCCATAATTAACTTCAATATTTAATAATTCCCTGGGTCATATGTTTTAATAAAAATATCATAATTCTATGTTTCCTTCATATATGGTTATATTTTGCACAAGAAGGAAAGATGGGAGGAAAACCTTATACTATAGATATATCAGTATAGCAGGTACTTAATTCCATTTTTAGGATGCACGGAACATGGGCTCGAATCAGTGAGGACTCTAGTACTGCAACTGCGGTAGTATCGGGTAAAAGTTCATACGGATGGTGTGGTGCTTATTTTGCATGAAATTTATTTAATGTACTTTAAATTAGGTGAAACCATGTCTAGTTTATGTACAATACACCTACAATTAATGACATGAATAGAGAAATGCAAAGTTTACTTGTACGTGATATCATTTGAATTGCAATCTCAAGAAATTGACATTGTTTATAATAAAAAATTGAATATTGTTTACATAAACATGCTTCTTGGGATTGCGAGTCAACCTCGGGTCAGAAAATCTCTGTACAGCTCATCTCTTATGACATGGAATACATGGAGAAATGCTTAATGGACTATCATGCCTTAACGATTATTCCATTGTCATTGACTACTAAACTCGGAATGGTCGCGCCTTCGGCCCTCCAATACCTAGGATAGTGATTGATTTATTCTTTGCGAAATGACAAACACGTATGTAAAGTACGTCCCAATGGAATACGTGACATATGGGGACGAACATCTTGATACTGCTGTGATTTCTAGTTTGCCTAACTTCAAATCTTTTCTTGTGTTCCATTGTAAGGGTGGAGAATACTATTTGAAATACTTCCCTCCTATAATCTACGTTAAGGGGACATATTTAAAAAGTAGGATTTTTCATGAACTCAGCCATCAAACAGGTACTTCTGAGGGAAGTTTAAATTTTCTGTCTGTTTCGTTGAACGAAAAAAAGGGCAAACAAACTCGCTGGTATATAATAAAAGTATAATTTTTTCTTACCTCAGCTATCCATCAGGTACTTCTTTGCCCATTTTAAACTTCAAGCGCCCTTTGTTTTGCTGGATCAGAAAATTCGGGAGAATACGGCTTTTGCAAAATGTGTGCTCTGAGGCGTTTTAACCCAAAATTACCTTCTTTTTTTTTTACCGAAATCAATCCTCAGAGAACTACATGCACAGAAAGTATCAACCTTATATGTTTGCCCTATTCGCTGGTGAAAAAACATCCTTCGAAATGCCAACCCACCCAAAAGCTATGCCCGCAAAGGATGCACCATGAAAGCTGAATACTGCCTCAACTCCATAATACCATGTTACTTATACATGTGCCAAGTTTCACTTTTCCATTTCTGCCCAATTCGCCGCGAGAAAAATTTTTTTTGGAACATCGCCCCTGGACAAAAAATTTCCCCATGGGATGTATCGAGACTTACCATTTTTACTCAACTCCTTGTCCCAGTAGTCATATTCATGCAAAGACTCAGCTTTCAATGTTCTTCAGTTTAACTGATTTGAAATTATTTGAAAACATCTCCCTTTGAAATTTCTGTCCCCAGGGCATTTCCTTCCAAAGTCTGAATTTTTCTGCACGCAGCATCCCAATAGGTAATTATGTACCAAGTTTCATATTTTCACACCTGCTCAATACCCCAGGACAAAAAAAAATATTTAAAAACGTCGGTCCCCAATAATATGCCCCCAGTGGAATAGATCTAAAATATTACATTTTTCCTGAACTCATCGTCTCGGTAGGCATGCCCATGCCAAGTTTCAGCTTTCCATGTCTCTCCGTTTTACTCGGGCAAAAATATTGTTATGGAGGGGGAATGAGTAATGGGACTTGGAATGCATGAGAGGCCGAAAGAATGCCAAGGAATGGTCATGAATTGAACCCGGGCCTCCTCATTGACGGTCAGGTGTGCTACCACAACACCACCGAACCCGGGATATCCAGTGAAGCCTCTCGATGGCATCAATATCCATCACAATATATATTTAAAAACTTCTTCCCCCCCCCCCCAAAGTGTGAACCCCCATGGCATGTACTCGTACCTCGAAAATCTGATTTTTTTCTGAACTCTGCATCCCAATAGGTATTTGCGTGCCAAGATTTAGATTTCTAACTCCTCTAGAACATGGTTAGAATTAGCGTCAGTCCGTCAGTCCGTCACGATCGTCTATATATATTAGATGGCCTAGGTTCATTCTTTCGAGAAATAAAAAATTAAAAAAGGATATTATGTCTTTCTCCTGCAATACGAAAAGCTGAAAAGCAGAAAAAGTTTATTCCTTTTACGAAACCGGTTATTTTACTAGTAAGGAGTACCGGATTAATGTCTGGTAATCCAGAAACATGTTGATACTATGAATGATACTATTGCTCACAGCAAAATTCAACGTACGCAGTTTTAGTTTGCTTTAAAAATGAGAAAATGCACTTTTTGAACTGAAATGCTATTATTAATGATAGGAAAATGAGATCCGGCGAATCTTCACAATCTACAAGGTCGAGAGAGATATGTGCATCAGGACGTTGTCAGGCTGCATATAGACCTAGGGGAAAACTGGATGATTAATGACGATAGAAGGAAATAGAGGCCGGAAATGAAGGGCGTTGCATGGCTTCCAATTGGAAATTCGCCCTTTGAGTAAAAAAAAATACTAGGTTGGAAAAAAAGCTCCTTGGGGGAGACATCTTGTGAAAATAGGAGACACATACTTGAAAGCTTCAGGATACAAGTATTTATTCAATGATCTCCAATAGTGAACTTGACATGGCAGCTATACAGAAAATAATTTAATTTACTCCTTTTCATTCTGGGGTAACCAGAGTCTCCAATGATACTAAGAAATGGTCATTATTTTCCCTCTGGTGACGTATTAGCACCAGATCTTTTGGGAGAATGTATGTATAATAGCTCCTGAAAAGAATAACATCCGGGAATATAAGACATCCCATCTGTTTCAAGCAAATGTAAAGAATCTCAAACATTTCTTAAGGTCACTGTGGGTCGCACGGTCCCTAAAGTGTTAAAGAACTAGACAAGAGCGATACCCTTACGGGAAAATCCGGTAGGAATCCTATAGGAACCTACAAGAACCTAATAGGATTCCCATGAGAAACGTATAATATTTTCATGTTTAAAAAATCCCATTGCATCCTAAATGATCTTTTCGTTAAGGTATCATGCGGCCGTCGTGCGATAATGTGTGGTAATGAAATCAAGTATCTCAAACAAGATTTACTTTTTAGGGACTTCTCTTTTTCCTTACAAAAGGGTGAACCAACACGTCTATTCCTGTTTCCCTCCTTCCCTTCCTAAGTAACACAGCATGTTGATGAAACGTTTCTGAAAGGTTGCCTATGTTGCTTTATGTTGCAAATTGATGTACAACATTGGGAAAACATTGCTTCAATGTTTTCACTTAGAATGTTGCTGCGACACTTCTACGAAAGTCATTGCAACATTAGCTATCAACATTGAAAGAATGTTGACATTCTTAACATCGATAACGTAGCGACACCATTCTGATACAACATGGACTTATAAGTTTTAGAGAATTGTAAAGTTGTCCTCCTTGCCACGAGATGGAGACGTATGTCGCGCTTTCTCACAGTACACACAAGTGCCCTTCTCCCTTTTCCTGAAATAGTCCCGCGCAGGAATGTCTAGTACCTTGCCATATGTCTCACATTGTCACATCATAGGAATCAATGAAGACGGACACTTCATCACCTGTTATCTTCATTTTCCAGACAGATTAATGGGGTCAAGATAAAAAAAGCTCATATTCCCAAAAAGTACCCTTTCCAAGAACTCGTAGCAATACAGGAAATCCAGGATGACACGCTCAGAATCGAAATTTCTGTACTGTAGTAGCTGTGTGCAGATCATGAAGAAAGAGTCACAAGCAAGCGAATTCAGACGTCCTTCACTCATAATAGTTTTCCGTAATGCCAATATAGGCCCAGATTAGGTGCCCGTGAAGCAATGTTTGTAATCAACATTGCAGCAACATAATCCTGAAACGTATCTGCAACGTATATGTTATGAATAAGTAGCGATTTGCAACGTAAATGCAATGTTCCTTCGCAACATTTGAACAACGTTGACGTTTTGGACATTTACACATAGATGCAACATTGTTGATCAACATTTCCTAAACGTTGCTGAAATATCTTGTGTTACTTGGGTTCCTACCCGTTGATTCACTTACATGTGTGGGTCCTGTGACGTTGGCAAAGCGCTGACTATAAAAGGAGTTGAGTGGATGCGAATCGACTCAGTCTCAGCTTGGCTTCAACACATCCATGTATTCTTCCCATGCAACCTATCTCTCCTTTCCTTTCTTTCTTCTGTCTATCTCATTTGGAATATTTGCGCAATCCCCATGCCCCGATCCCGAAAAAATTATCCCGTGTAAATGCAACAACTTGCATTCCCTCTTTGATCCCTTCTATGATATCTACAATTACCAAGAATATGATACCTTCTTTGAAGCCAACAATACCATCGATAATGTGAAGGTGGTCTGCTCGGTGGAAAACTCAAGTGCTGAAATCTTCTCAATATTCAACAATGCTACATGGCCCTCCAAGAAACTCAAGTAAGTCAGGTAGTGTGTGACATGTACCATTTTCCTGCAGCTGATGAGATTTCATATCACATTTCAAATTGAATATGTTCTGCCTTAAGAATACATGTTATACGGTGCTGGTATTTGAATCGGTCGAATTTCCTGATTTATAAACTCTGAGGGACTGACATGGAACAATTTTTGACATCCTAGGCAGTGGTTAGCCTGTTTTCCGGCTTGCAGGAATTGTTTTTCTTCGTATCCATTACATCAGTAGGCTACTGGATTACCCCACCCCTTCCTCAAAACATAAATGCCAAATTGGGGAAATCAGACTAAATACGATCGGGAACATTTTCGTACAAGAATGCATAATTTTCTATAGTTACTTCCTTTATATTGTGAAATCTCCTTAGAAAAGGGCCTGTTCTTCCTTAAACCCCTTCAGCAGGTATGTCGTTTACATCCGTCATGGTGAAATGTTCCTTACGGGTGTTCATGTTCAGTCCATGATGACTGGCGAAGGACCAGTTGGCAGACATTGTGCAAGGCAGAAAGGCTGTGTTGTGCAGCTTTGTCACAAGATGCTCAACATTCCACTAACTTAGCTTCATTCCATTGCCCAGGGTTGGGAACATTCCAAGGTTGGATGAACAGTCGTGAAAACGAACACCCCAAATTCTCATGAATCGGATATAACTTGTGCAGTGGTGTAGGCAAGGAATCGGTAAGGGGGGGGGGGTTGAGGCCAGGTAGACACCCCAACCCTACGCCTGGCTCCACTACCCAGAATTTACCTTTTCAAAGAAATCATGGTCTGGCATGTTGGGTGTGTGGACGGACCTCAGACTTTCCTCGAAGGGGCATAGCTAAAATTGGAATTCCCAAGGAAGGTTGAAATATGCCAGTCAGTGTCACTAACAGAAAAGCCCAACGTGGGGGGGGGGGGTTCTAACCCCCGAAACTCCCCCCTTCACTATGCCACTGAACTTATGCAAGGTTCAGGCTTGTAGTCTCATTTGTTGGACCTTAATGAGTAATCTCTTTTTATCCTTCTAAAATGAATGGCTTTGTTAGTACATACATGTTACTCGTTTCAGTAGTCAGTGCATGAGACCTCCATAAGGTACACCTTACAGTAAGGCAAACCCAGCTGTGCCTCATCATTTCCGAATCAGAAAAGTCACCCTACCAGATTGATAAAAAAAGGCAATGTTACCTTCACTCAATCAAATTCTGTCCAGTAATTTATCCTTCATTCTTTAAATATAAAATTATACTTAACCTTCATTGGTACTAGATCAATTTTTGGTTATCCCAAAAAATATATACATATAACTGCCAAATCGAATACAGTATGTGCATCCATTTTTAAAGCAAGTACAGAAGTTTTCAAAGCAGGTTGTTGTTTTGTTTATTAACATCTTTAAGCACTTAGATATGAGAATGCCAAAAGAGACAATGGTCCCAGGAAGATCTATCCAGTTGTCCATTTATTAAAATCTATCCAATAATTTTTGTTCTTTGAATGTATGTTGAACATAAGGTACCTCCTAGTAGAACCTTATTACTACTTTCAATACCAGATCAGTGCCTTAGACTCCGAAAAGGTGCACCTCTAAGTGTGAGATGAGTCTGGCAATATGTAATTGATAGAAATCGGTCAGGTAGGCTTTTCCCTTGGTCAGATGTTTTGGCCACTCACAAGTACTTATAGGTCCTTTTAGTACCTCTTATATTACAGTCATCCAGTCCAACACGTTCTGCGCATGGAGGCACTCTGGTAGAGAAAAGAGACGAGTACAGTGGCACTTCAGAATCGGTCTTGAAGCCTTCGTTCTAGGCCTGCAAGTATAATTCCCAAAAGAATTGTCCTCAACCTCGTACTTCCTGATCTGAGAAAGTACGAGGGGTGTTCGAAAAGTAATAGGAATTTATTTATTAAACAAGAACGATTAGACCTAAGGTAACAAGAGTCAGCCCATACGTAGGCCAACATGTAAGCATTAGGACCTGTCAATGCCATTCAATACACTCAGTCCATTCTCGAGTTATAGGCCGTGCTGTCCCTTGCTATTTTTCTATTATGGAAGACGCGGTGAAAAATCAAAGGTCAATAATGTTCTTTTTGTGGAAGGAAGGAGTCAAAACTGTTGATATTGTCAAGCGCTTGCAGTGTGTTTTCGGAGATGCTGCTGACTCAAAAAGCACAGTTTATTTTTGGATTAACCGCTTCAAGAGTGGTCGGCAAAGCCTTGATGATGACCATCGGACTGGAAGGCCCTCCACTTCAGTTAATGAAGAAAATGTGGCAGCCGTGGAAGAGCTTGTGATGGAGGACAGGCGAGTGACCGTGCGAGAGATTGCCAGGGCCCTATGCATCAGTTTCGACTCTGTTCACTCGATTCTGCACAACCATTTGGGCATGAGCAAAGTTTCAGCGCGATGGGTACCTCGGCTGTTGGGGCCAGACCAGAAGCTCAACCGTACAGTGACATGTGGTCAGCTTGTGGACTTGGCGAAGAGGTACGGTGAGAACTTTTGGCTTCGGATTATTACTGTAGATGAGACCTGGGTGCCATACTTTAATCCGGAGACCAAATCCCAATCGATGGAGTGGCGGCGCCCTGATGAAGGCCCTCCAATAAAGGCTCGATCAAATCCGTCCGTTGGCAAGGTCATGATGACCGTTTTTTGGGATTGTCAAGGCATTATCCTCATAGACTATCTTCAGAGAGGTCAAACGATAAACGCCGAATACTATTCTGGTTTGCTGAAGGGCCCCTTGCGCACCCAACTGATCAAAAAACGCCCAGGAAAGCTCCACGCACGACCATTACTGCAGCAAGACAATGCCAGGCCCCATACTGCAAGACGAACTATTGATGCTATAGCCGATCTGCGATGGGAGTTGCTGCCTCACCCACCCTACTCTCCTGATTTGCCTCCAAGTGATTATATTGAAAAGTTAAGTGTAAATAATGATGAATAAATATGTTGATTGGGAAAAATTTCAAACTTCCTATTACTTTTCGAACACCCCTTGTATTTCCCGTTAAAGGTGAAACTTGGACTCGAAGTCCTGGAAAGAGACATAAAGACTAACAGATACTGGGTGAACGCAAGTTGCGTGGACACGATATGTGAGCATGAAGCTTGTATGGGACATGTGGGCGGGACCTGTCTTTGACCCTTAAAAAAAAGGCGTGAAAGAGCCCCACTCTCGCACTTAAGAATATCAGTCTAGTTATGCATAGTATATACCTGTCTATGAGAGCCCCTGCAGATATAGAGCCTAGCCAAATACAACAATGGGCGGCATTTTCGCTCCAGATGAACAAAACAACCTTCCATTTTCCCCTAGTCATTTCTTCCTCAAATCGCTCCGATTCCCTCACGTGAGGCACGATCGCAGAGAATGGACGGCATCTTCACAGACGAAATACATTAACGAATGCTGAGGAATGTATTTCATTATCTGAGGAGGTCAATTTAAAAACAGCTGAATCCCAACAAGTTGGTTCCCTCTGGGTCACCAATGTCTGTCTGAGGACTATGTAGGAGCTTTTATTCTTTGTTTATTTGTATCATAACTCACTTCAAAAGACTTCCACTATCTGTTTTGAAGGAACAGTTCCAACCTACCAATTTCATTCTTTATTGGCCCCCTTCAAACCTGTTTCCTAGGAAATCAATTTTACTTTCCATGCTACCCGTTGTATCTGTGAATATGCGTCGGAAATGATACAAGCTTGTATTTGAAATAATGAACAAAGATGATCTGCCCTGAGCCAAAAAGGTGTTGAATTATACTTGATTTGACTATTGTATACTGGGACATTGGCTAATGATGGAAGCAGAAAACGTATTTTTTGCTATCTCTCTAAAGTATCTCTACCATGTGCATTTGTTTTTGTGCATTCTCTCCTGACATCAGGTTTCCAACCCCACCCTTTTACAGCCAATTGAAAAAATGATGATTAATCGGTATTATAAAAATCTCCAACTACCTGTTCATTGACTGGAATAGGTATGTCAAACTGACGCAAGCGGTGCAAGTTTCAAGTTCCATCTTTAAGTTACAATGGTGTTCAAAAATACGTAAGATGATTTGAATATCCTAATTTCAAGACCTAGGGAGGAGTTTCTTTTAAAGCAAATGCACGATGTGTCAATCAGACAAGAAACTTCATGGAAGGAGTGGCTTTAGCTTCAGGAACGTAGTTAAATGTTCAAGTCTTTCAGTGAAGCCTAAGAATGAATAAGACGTGAAGACTGGCGAAAGAGTTGCGGCACAAATGATCGAAAATACCTCGTAAAATTATGTATCGGAGTATGCGGTCAGTCTTCTTCCGTTTTCGTTGCCCGAAGGGGATTTTCCATGAGAATCTGGAAAACAGGAACAACGGAAAACCTTTTCCCGACCGATTTGAGCATTTCGCAACATATTGTAGCATTATTACTCTAGAATCAACGAGAAAAGTCATTTCACGTCAATTGCATGGACGACAGTCATGCAGCAGCTGGCGCGAAAATCTCACCCATGCATGTCGCCAATCAGATACGTCGAAGAAAGCCAACTACAGACAACCCACTTCGTCTTGGAAGACGAACCGGGCTATTCGAAGGAATGCAGGAAACAAATTTCGATCATAATGCGAAATCTATCTTCAAATGTCGTTCGTCGAAAATTTTTACAAAAAAAAATCGGAAATTCCAGAATTTTCTTTTAGTGCTGATAGCTCGCGTGTCCGCACGGCGTGTAAAGACAGGAGGTGAGTATGAAGTTTGGGATGCCAGTTGCATCATTTCAAGGGTACACCCAGCAAACCCTGTCTATGTGGCCGCAAGCAATCAATCTTTCAGTATCTACAATATATCCGTCATCCACTTCGGATGGAATGGATGGATGTTTTAGTAGAAGAGCACCCCGTACCGTACCGCACCACGTATTGGAACACTAGAAAATGTTCTCGAAGGTGCGTGCGTTCGGATCGCGTGGAGATGGGAAGAGAGAGATGTGTACTTGTAGGATGCCATATGCGGCACTTCACCCGTAAGCCTAGAAACTGTATCGTCACGGTCACGCGCAGCTACGCTGTCCGGTCTCCATAGTTTTGGTATTACAAGTTTCTGCAGCAATTCCATGGGGAAGGCTTTGATTCACCCTTCATCTGCTTCTAGGAAATTCGTTCTATTCGGTGGGAATATGGAGGAGGATGGGAATATGGCAGAGGATGAGATCATGGCGAAGGAATTCCCGGGAGGATATTTTGGGGATGTCTCTTTCGAGAGAATCACTATTACCGGTTACCAAGTGGCAACCATACATCCCTCAGCCCTACTTTCATCCCTAGACACACTGGAGGAGCTGGAAATCACGGATAGCCATTTGAAGGAGTTTCCTTGGGATACCCTGCCCCTATTAACCAAACTCACGTCCCTCAACTTATATGGAAATGAATTGAAAGAGATATCCAGCATCCGAAGCGACAGTCTTCAGGTGTTATATATTTCTTGGAATCAAATTGCAACATTGAAATCTGGATGGTCTGCACCAAACTTGACCTCTCTCCTAATTGGTGAGTATAATTGAAGGCGATGACGTAAATGAAAACGATGACAAAATGTGGAATCAATTCACTAATTGCCTACCCTGTTCTACGTTATTGCGTCAATTCACAAGTTATATTTGATGTGCAAAAAGCACTGTATGCAGGATCTGATGAAAATGTACCTATTATTACTTTGTTCAAACATAATTAATGCACCCTAAAAACTTACTTTTCGAAAGTATAGAGATCTCCATATTGCTTGATAGGAATTTTTCTGCACCCATTCTTTTTCATCATGTCGGGCTATATAAAGAGTTTCTTTTTATTTATCATTGTTTTCCTTTTTTCAGTCGCATTAACTTGCATGATGTATTATGATTATCGTGTTTCACATGGTGCATAGATTGCGACGCAATTTTTTTTCTACTCTAGACGCCTCTTCTAACAGCAAGAAAATGGGGGTGCTCAATCTATACCAGGGCATATGTTAATACAAGTTAACGTGTGCAGATTAATCATTTTGGGAGGAATTTCTCTTCAAAGGATTGTTAAACCATGCCCACAATCGCTTGTTACCTGCAATAATACATGTTTTGAAAATCACGATGGCGGCTGTTGAGGTAGCAAAGAAAATGGAACAGCGAATCGACTTGACAATTCTGGCCTAAGAAAACATCAAATATTTTGAAATTTACAGACGATTGCCTTCACAGCGTGGTGAAATTATAAAAAGAAACCCCTCCGTCGATCAAAATGAGATCCTCATGTCGCTTAAATGTTCGCTTTGTTGAAATAAGGTCCTCCTCGTGCACCGTGAGCTTAATTCTGCGCGCATTCGCAAACATATTTAAATTATTTCCACTAGCCAAATACGGATGTCCTTCACAGGCAGTAGTCACAATACTGTGCTGGCAATTACATCTAAATACAAGCTGGGTTACCCGGCGTTGCCCGGGATATTTTTTAGGAGTAATATTTAGGTTGGGTGGTTAGGGTGGTGTGGTAGTGATGAGACAAATACTGACCCTGGCCAAACAGTACTTGACTTGTGGCTTCTTGAAGTTAGTTGTAGACTACTTGAAGTGTCTTGGCTTTGTTGAAGATTTAGGTTGGGTGGTTAGGGTGGTGTGGTAGTGATGAGTCAAATACTGACCCTGGCCAAACAGTACTTGACTTGTGGCTTCTTGAAGTTAGTTGTAGACTACTTGAAGTGTCTTGGCTTTGTTGAAGGGGGCATTATAGAACTTACCAACTTCACTGTGGATGCAAGTGAAATTAGTAAGTAAAGGCCAGGGCAGTTTTACTACTGTTAGTTAGCTAAGGTAAACCAATTTTTTAAAATTGATTTCTGTTGATTTTTTAGTGGCCCATTTTTTTATTTTTGACAGTGATTTCTGTTGATTTTTCAGCAAGCCAATTTTGTCCATTTCTTAACAGTGATTTCTGTCGGGGTGTGTCAGCCAGACTTTTTGTGCACCAAACAGGTTCTGGGAACCTGTGGAACTCCAATCTGTTGTGCCTGTCTCCCTAGCTGGCCTGGAACACCCTTTTTGGGACCCCAAAAATCTAACTTGAATGAGTTTCTCAATGATATTCTTATTTCACAGGAAAAATTAAACTCCATTTTCTCACACATATTCTTACTGCACCGAAAAAAATTCTAAATTCTAAATTCTAAAGTGTCTCAATCATTCACCGCAATGCTTGAGAAATCTAGCTGGCCTGGAACACCCTTTTTGGGACCCCGAGACCCCCCCCCCCCGAGCCGCCCCCCCTTACCCCGACCCCCCTATGACCTGCTACTGGACAGACCCCACCCTCCTGCGAAGGTTTCAGGTCGATATCTCCAACGGTGTCCGAATGCATAGCGTCAGATGGACAGAGACAGAGATCCTTGCTTAGAGATATAGATAGATCTAAAGATTTCATGCGTTCGTTACCCGGGAGTTTCATAATGATTCGCTGTTCCAACATATGGGTTAACAACACTGTGAGCAACTTATGGGTTAACAACAATATAATTCTTCCAAATTATTCATCTGCATACGTTACTCTGCTTTGTATAAAATAATTCCTGGTACACCGTGGACAATCCTCGTATTTCTTTCCCAACCGCATCATAAACCGTTAGAATACCTCCACCAAGAACTTCTCCAAAATGATCTAATGATATGGATGGTATTTATTTGATACATTTGCATCTCATACAGGTACGAATCCAATCTCTGAGATCCCCCATAAGTTCTTCGAGGGCTTGGGGAACTTAAAGTTATTCAATTGTGATGGATGTCACCTGGGGCCGACTCTGTTTAAGGGATCTCTGATATTCCACAGTGAAATCTTGTCATACGTGCAACTTCGCCATAACAACATCTCAAACGTAGAAGAAGGCGCTATTACAGGTTAGTTACGATCCAACTTCGCTTTGGGAGGATTTTGGGAGATTCATTCCCATATTTAAACCATAGCTGAAGTAATTTTCCAGAAATTACTTCCCATTAAGTTCTTTGACACGTTCCCGTTATTCATGTCCTAGGTGTCACACCTAACACGATGGTTGATTTTTATGGCAACGATATCGCAGAGTTGACGGAAGCTACCTTCCGCCCAATGCTGGAGGTCATGCAACGTGGGTATGGAAGGATGTTTGTTATGGGTTGGTTTCATGATCTTGCTATCTGTGATCCTTTCTGTCATTTACATTTTCCACCGTGAATATGATCATTTTTCGTCTCCTGTCCACTATAGGTAACCCCATCATGTGCGGATGTAAAATTGATTGGATCGTACGTAATTCAAACTTTCGGAAGGATATTTCCGGTTTCTGCCAGGATGGCACTTCCTTTCAAACGTTGGATCCCCATATTTTCGAAATGTTCTGCAAAGAAGGACATCCTCCATGCGAGACGATTTCTACACCTTGACCACTCAATGTTCTTGAATAAAGAGATTTTGACTCTGCTCTGATAACATGGCGTTTGTTTCGTTGAAAAGATCAACAAAGCTGAAGTTTCGGTAAAACAGGAATAAATGAAAAACCTTCTTCAGTTCCATTTTGAATGACTTTTCTAATCTTTTTAGCTGAATTATAGTGCAATATCAACATGGGGATATGCAGCTAGTCTATTCAAAGGATCAATGAAATGAATTAGCCCTGAATTATTTAGAAATAATTATAGATACGGAAATGACGCAAATAAATGAAGCTGCATCGATGTGACTAAGCAACTTATCTCATAAAAGTTATACAGAAATAACGATTGGAATGTGAAGTCAGAACAACGATGAAACAATAGATAAAAGAGCGATGCTTTTAGCAGAATTGACATTCTGGAAGACCTCTTTTTCAGTATGAGGTGAGTATCAAGAGGATGTACTGCTTGAGATGGCCTTGTCGCTTGGGCAAGCATTCACTTATATTAATTTAGGGCTGAAGGAAAATTTTGATTTGGGGAAGAATGCGAGAGGGGGTCAAAAAAACAACATCGTCGGCAAAGAGAAGTATCTTTACCGCGACGTCACCGATGTTGGCCCCTTCCAGGCCGAGGCTGCGCCTACAGACCCTGTCCATGTACACGAGGAACAGGAAAGGTGAGAGGACACAACCCTGCCGGAGTCCAACACGTACCAGAAAACAATCCAAACTCCTCCCGCTCACTCGGACGCAACTTCTGCAATTGCTGTATAGGGACAGAACGGTCCTCGATAGCAGACCCTTGATCCCATTCTCCTGCAGCACTCTCCACAGTTTTCTTCGGGGTACACGGTCGTAAGCTTTTTCAAGGTCTACAAAGCACATGTAGACATCTTTCGCATACTCCCAATGTCTCTCGAGGATCTGGTGGAGAGTGAACAGCTGGTCCATGGTGCTACGCCCTTCACGAAAGCCCCACTGTTCCTCTTGGATGGCATCACCCACGACTGCCAGAGATCTCTTTTCCAGCACCTTGGAATAGACTTTACCAGGTATGCTGAGGAGAGTGATCCCACGATAGTTCGTGCATTCCCTCGAATCCCCCTTTTTAAAAAGAGGAACCATCACACCGGTTAGCCAATCCGTTCCCGATTCCCAAGCAGCCTGACACATCCTATAAAGCTACGAGCACCCATCTGTACCCATTGCTTTCAGAATCTCTGCCCGGATTTCATCCAGATCAGGAGATTTCCCATTCTTCAGGCTAGCAATGGCCTACAGAACTTCCCCAATGGTGAGACTAGTCTCCGCGCTGAAAGGCTCCAGGTCGGGCAGGTCAGTGTCCAGTGTTATTGGGCTTAAGAGCTCTTCAAAGTGTTCTTTCCACCTCCCAAGTATATTTGCCTCGGCAGCCAACACCTCCCCGTTCCTGTCTTTGAGCATATGTTGCCTGCCTTGCCGTAACCTTCGGATGGTTTGCCAGAAAACCTTGATGGCTGTGCGGTAGTCTCATTCCATTTGATCGCCGAATTCCATCTACTCCTCCTGCTTCGCTTTGGCTACAACACGAGCAGCAGTTCGTCGCGCCTTGGTATAGTACGCCTTAGAAGAATCAGACCTACTGGACATGTACGCCCGGTAGCCTACCTTCTTGGCAGTGACAACCTCGCGCACCGCTGCTGTCCACGGTTCGCTTGGCGTTACCGTGAGCCACTCCGATGCGATTCTCCCCACACACTCTTGCTGCCGCCGCCGAAACACCAGACTGAAAAAGAGTCCATTCCGTCTCTACATCGGACATCTAGGGAGGCAGTTGGGAGTACTTCTCGCCGATCTCCCTCGCGAATTCGTCACGTGTTCCCTCATTGCGAAGGGCTTCCCACCTCACTCGTCTTTCAATGCGTGCGGATCTCTGCCTTGTTCTGATATTTGCTGGTATCCGAAGTTTGCTGACCACTAGATGATGCCAATGCAATAGGATTAATAAACATTACGGTCGGTCGCGTTTCTCCCAGTCCGACGCCAGTTGGGTCAATTCGTTGTCCTTTTCCAAGTGGAAACCGCAGCTTTGAAATATATTGCCAATTCATGTCCCCCCCCCTTCCCCTGACACCCCACTACACCCTAACAAAGAAAGGGACTACTGAGTCAATCAGTTCAAGGAAAAAACTATTAGCATTAGTTATTTATGAGTACTTTAGATGCTATGCTTCCTTACTTTCTTTGAAATTTGGTCATTGATTCCAGTGACTATATGGTAATGGCTAAAATAAATATTAAAAACTACATAGCTATAATTTCACAAGTAATAAGTTAGAGTTTTTAGAAGTTTTTGGCTAATGTTTATCCACGGTCATCTGTTACAGAACCGAGAAATTGATCCTAATAGCTTTGTAATAGATAAAATTTCTCAGGACGTTATGAAGGAATAAGCCCTAAGGGGGT